CAATGTTGAAATGTATCATTTTATTGCAACTTAATAGTAGTTCGACGAAACTCTGAAAAGTAGGCACTTGAGCTCTAAATAATGGGAGTGTTCTGGTATATCATTCTTATCTAGAACATGCTGACCCAGGCATAGTGCTTGACGGGATATAAATAACTATTGACTTACTGATAGATAAAATATCATCAGATGATCAACGAAGTATGACATCAAATTTCTAGGTTGCAGATGTCTCCCGTTCTTTGTTCATTTCTCATGCAAATGATTAAATCTTTAGATTGGTAAAACAAAAGAATCTCTAAATGATCAATAATTTTGTTAAGTTTGATTATATACTCACATAAGACCATAGCCTAAGGATCAATGAAGCTTTTCAATAAAATTTGTTGGTAGCAAATGACTGTTTCTATTTTTAGCATATTTTTTTATGTGTATTTCACAAGTTTAAACATTCTGAGAAATTCTTTTGGTGAGAATAAAGCAGAATTCTAGGATACATATGCAAAACACACAATTCCCTCATGAGTTTATATATATATATATATATATATATATATATATATATATATATATATATATATCATCCAATTTTTGTTAGCATTAATGAGAAAACAATTTGACTATTATAATAAAATACAATTTTTGGAGGTAAAATTAATATTCTATATCTTGACAAAGATCTTGAAGGAAAGTAGTTTGTTGCTATTTAGCACAACATAATCTTCCTACACTAAGAAAAAAATATTTTGTACTTGCAAGACCAATGTTGAAATGTAGCATTTTAAGGCAGCTTTATACTAGTTGAATAAAACTGTGAAAAGTCATCACTCGGACTCTAAATAATGGGAGTGCTCTAGTATATCATTCTTATGTAGAACATGCTGACCCAGACACAATCCTTGAAGGGATATAAATAACTATTGACTTACTGATAGATAAAACATCATCAGATGATCAATGCATGACATCAAATTTCTAGGTTGCAGATGTCTCCTATTCTTTGTTCATTTTCCATGCAAATGATTAAATCTTTAGATTGGTCAAACAAAAGAATCTCTAAATAATCAATAATTTTGTTAAGCTTTATTATATAGGCACATCAAGAAGTCCATAGCCTAAGGATCAATGAACCTTTTCAATAAAATTTGTTGGTAGCAAATGACTGTTCAGTTTTTAAACAAGTATATAAATATTTATAGGATCAGTGAAACAAAAACATTTCTATCAAATTATTAACTTGGTTAAATTTTATATATCTATATCAATAAGTCCATAGCCAAATAATGAAAAAATTTGAGGCTATCTGATGCTGAATGTCCACATAGTGTCATGTAAGATATGAATGATTAATAGCAAGGGTTCATCAAGATTCTGGAGGTTGGGTGATGTAACCACCTCATCCACTGCAGACTGTTTGGTGGCTGTCTTCGTGCAGAAAGTGAGCAATTATTATATATTTCAAACTGGAGGTAACAGTAACAATTGGTAAATGTTTTTTTTCATAAATAGGTTTAAATGTTATTAGAAATAATAATATAAACATATAAACACAGTAGGTGTAATTTTGAAATTTCCAATTTTTGCTCACCTTTGACCAGTTTGCTTTAAGATAACTCAGATTTAAAAAAGCAAATGACAATTGTCAGATTTGAAATGTACCAATATAAAGTTGTTGATAAGACAAAGAAAGATTCCGTAAATTTTCAAAATAATCAAAAGAAAAATAGGCAAATATAACAGGTAAAGGTGGTTCCAATAACTTGGACCAATTTTAAATGTGAATTAAGTTTAAGCATCTAAGGATTTTTTTTTCTTTTAAATTTAACAACTTAAGTCTTTGGCAATTTCAGCCATGGGAAGATTAACAATCAAACAACATGTTAAATTTTCTAGAGTGCAATTGGAAATATTGTGCATAGATTCAAACAAACTGGGTCGGTAGCAGATGTGAATATAACACCGCGTGCTCACTTACGCCATTCAGCTGAAAACATTGCTACAGTGCACAAGAATGTGGCTGAAAATCCAGACCCCACTATTCATCATCGTACGCAGAAATTGAACCTATCCACAACAATGTTACACTGTTTCCAATTGCACTCTCAGTTGGTCGATTATGTTGACCAAAAAATCGCGAATGAGCAAAATGCATTTCTGTTTGAACGTCCATTTTTTTTTAATAAGCCTTGATAACTTTAACATGTTATTTGATTGTTCATCTTTCCATGGTTGAAATTGCCAAAGAATTAAGTTGTTAAATCTGAAAGATAAAGAAAAATATCATTAGACGCTTAAACTTAATTCACATTTAAAATTGGTCCAAGTTATTGGGATATCCTATATAATGGTTATGAAGCTTGTCATATAGATCGTTATGATTGAGTAGGGAGTCTAATCTTCATTTGGGTTCACCATATTTGTGGCCTTGTGCCGTACTTAATAATAGAATTGCTGATAAGAAGAAAAATATATTCTCTTTTCAATATTTTCATACAAGAATTCAACAAGAATTAATATTTGAAATGTGATAAAGGAAATTTCAGTGAGATTTGCAAAACATGTTTGTTATTTAATTTGTCGTATCAAGTTTTCTTGCTTGGTTGTTTTGCAAACTGTAGCAGCTTTGAAGGTGCATAGAAAAAGCAAAAGAGGTTTTTAATGAGCTGAAAGTTAATGTTAAAAAGAACAAAAAAGACTCTTGGACTGTGATGCCTCATCTATATAAAAGTGGATACTGAACAATTTCATCACAAATCTAAAATAGACTTTAAGCTATTGAGTTATAGTTCATCACCTGAGATAGATAAGCAATCCAACGAGGATTTTAAAGCTAATATTAAAATAAAAACACATAGTTTTGGACTGTGATGTAATGCTTAATTTATATATAACTATGGATGCTGAACAATTTCATCACAAATGAAAAAAATATAGGTTTGAAACCATTGAGATATGGTTCTTCCCCCAAATTCTGAAAATACTGCAGAAAGGAAAATTTCAGCAGAATAGAAACTACAAGGTAGTTGTTGCTGACGATCAAAAAGAAATCCCAGAAATTTTGGGGATGCAAAATGAGGAAAGGAGGCTTGGATAATTTAACACTCACAGGGGATATAAAAGGCAAGAGAAGAAGAAAAAATATATTCTCTTTTCAATATTTTCATACAAAAAGCAACAAGAAGGAATATTTGAAATGTGATAAGGGACATTTCATTGAGATTTGCAACAGACGTTAACTATTTAATTTGCCATATCAAGCTTTCTTGCTTGGTAGCTTTGCAAACTGTAGCAGTTTTGAAGGTGCATAGAAAAAGTAAAAGGTAATATTAAAAACAACAAAAAAGACTCTTGGACTGTAATGCCTCATCTATATAGAAGTGGGAGGCTGAACAATTTCATCACAAATCCAAAAATAGACTTGAAGCTATTGAGTTATGGTTTGATCAGTAAATGCTGAAAATACCACCGTGAGAGAACATAAGACAAATTTTGAAATGTTCCAAGAGAATGGTAACTATAATATCGTTAGTATCAAAAACAGATGACTCAAATTTTATGGATTCATAATGAGGAAAGAACATTTACAGAAAACATTCAAGGAAAGATAAGCAGACAATGTCAGTAACCTACTTGACAAGTTTGGGCAAAGACAAATATGGGTCATGGCGGAACAAGTATTGTATCCTTAGAGAGAGAGAAGGATATATATATATATATATATATATATATATATATATATATAGAGAGAGAGAGAGAGAGAAACAAGAACAAAAGTAAATGTAGGCTGTGTGTAAATAAAGATGAAAATAAGCAGTATTTTTAAAATACTGCACATTTTTTAAGAAAAGTAAAAATATAAGTGAAATGTGTTAAAAATGGCGAGTGTATTTTATGGAGAAGGTACTGTAAATGATTAAATGTCATGGTGGAGTTTTCTCATGCAATGATGTCTTGCGTTCAGGTTGAACAGCAATCAATAATTTAGAGCAATTTAATCAAGATTTTACATAAGAATGTTATACTTAGCTTCAAACTAGATCTCTTTCTGATTCACTCTACATCAAAACCTGTCGGCCAGATGTTAACGCTAAGAAAGCAAAAATAAAAATAAAAAAGTCGCCTTCTGTGTAGGAGCTCCAAGCATCACAACTGGATCAGAAAACAAATCCCCTCCCCCCAAAATATAAAATACAATATAAAAGCAGTTATTCACAAATGTTGCCACAAAAGCAAATGCATAACAAAAAATAATGAGTCATAATCCAACCTGCATATTTTTAAGGATACTGCTCACACTAGTGAAGGCAGTCATCAACCAGCAGGTAAGCTGTCACTGACATTCTCTTTTTCAACTGACCAGACAACTCTAGACCCCATCCTCCAGGTTGCTTCCCTTGTCCACAAAGAGACATTCCAACTTGATCCTCTATAACGGTAATACAAAGAAGTTTTTTTTATCTTAACAGTTCTTGACTTTTTTCTTTATGCCTCACTGGCAGTTCTTAGTTTGTTTGTTTGTTCTCTTATTGTTGTAGAGTAGTTTTCACAGTGGAGGCTTGTATTTCACTAAGTCGGTCCTAAATTAGGTTCGACGTACAAAACGTTAGGAACTTGCAATAATAGTTAATGACGCAGCAATCTAGTTGTGATGGTTGGTACTTCAATGTCCGATATCGACTGACTCACTCAACTCCACTGAGCTCAACTGGCGACCGCTACTACTACTACTACTTATTATGTGTGGGAGAGTCTATTAATAATAGAATAGGTACGTTCAGGTATAACACATGTTATCATAGTTGTGTTTAAAACAAGAATTTTGACCATTTACACAATGCAGGAGATAGTCACTTTAATTTAAAATTGTTAATTTTCTGGACATCCAACACTTGCAGCCATATGCCAGTCCCAGATGGCCTTGATAATTACTAAGACTTACCGCCTTTGTATTGAATAAACTGAGATTTTTTTGTTTGTCTTTTTGTAAAATTACTTTCTAGGTATGCATGGAAGGAAAAATGGAAGGATGCTCTGGTTAACGAACTAGAAGGAAGACGGGAAGATGTTTCAGATGAGGAATTTCGGAATAGGGATGCTAATTTGAAAGTCTCCAAATCAAAATATTGTAAGTACCCAATGGCAAGTATGGTTATATGCTCTGGGCGCCACTTAAAATGTGACAATTCTTGAAGGTGTGTTACTGAGCAGTTTAAGTCAAGTAATTTCACAAGATATCCTTAGAAAGTGAAAAATATTTTTTTTCTTTCTGTTGTAACCAAATAATTGGTTAAGAAATAACAAAACAAGAGTTGCAGATAAATCGTATATTAAACAGTAAATACAACAGAAGAGTATTACACGACTTGGGATCGGTTGACCAACGTTCAATCTATTCGACTGTTCACCCGAGGCTTACTCTCCTACTAATTTTATAGTAGGTGGAAGAGTCCATAATAGACTCTTTAGAGGGAGGACGCCACAACACTTTCATAAAGTATGGTCTGTCTATGATTGATTTGTTTTTAAGGCTTATCAACCTTTCGAAGGTTATTTAAAGCCAGAAAATATTTTTAGATTGTAAATTTTTTTTCTTGGAGATAATAATGATTTAGCTCAGTCGGAGAGAAGAGATGGATTCATACCTTTCGCAAGGGTATTTGTGCGAAAGGGAATGTAATGACTCCAACTGGAACTGGAACTCAGCTCTCCGATTAACAATTCCAAGTCGTTATCCATTACACCACCTCCAAGGTTACAGCACCTGGTATTCTCAAACAGTCAACCATCTAGGTATTGACCAGGTTTGATGTTGCTTAACTTCACTGACTGTATGGGAATTGCTGTTTCAACGTAATATGGCTGTAAGCCCTGATCTGTCTATGATTATCATTAGTGAAAAGTCCTAGGATAGCTAGATTGTTTTTTGATGGAAAAAATAAATTGTTATTAGTTACGTAATCATATGCATAACAGTGTTTTAGTTATTTTCGAATTTTAACATGTTTTCATAGTATTTATTTTTATTAGTTGAAGCATTGACAAGAATTATTATTCATTTTGACTGATATTTATCGTTATTTTGTTTCAGTTGTTTATCCTTCATGCTGACCATTTATTACCATAGATCAACGTTTCTCAACCTTTTTACCCTTAAAATAAATTACATGTCTAAAGGAACCCCTGCGTATAAACAAAATTATATACCATATATTTCTCATTTTATTTTCATCGTAGATCACATGGTAAATATCATAGTATATATTTTTGAGTAACTCTTGTATAAAGTTGTCCATTCATCACCGTAGATTGCCGGCCTAAATAAAGTTGCAATAAAGAAATAAAAAAAAAAAACTGAATTTCAGTTTTTATTATGTGCCATGCCTGATACACGCTTAGGCGATCAAGCATCTTTCGATACATGACTGACGAGGCAGATTGGTATTTCCACGTGATATGGCTGTTGCCATTTTTTTTATGGTAGGCCAGTTGCCATCCGAGGTTAGAGAACCCGGTCTGTCCTGCTATTTACCTATAGCTGGGTGGAGAGAAGAAGATTCATACCTTTCCCAAGGGTATTAGCACGTAAGTGAATGTAATGGATTTGACTGGAATTCGAACTCGGCTCTCCAATTCCTAGCTGCTATCCATTACTCTACTGTGCAACCTATTGCCAAGTAGAAGTCCATAATCTGTTAGGTTGACTTAGAAATAATTTTTATTTTCGTTTATCAACTTAATTCTTTAAAGAATAAAAGACAATTACACTCTATTCAATTATATATTCACCATTATTTGCAATGATTTCTTGCCACTTATCTGGCAGTTCTTTGATACTTTTAAGTAACATTGTGAAGATTTTGATATGAAAAAGTTTTTGACAAACTCTTGAATAAAGTTGTCTATTCTTTACCATAGATTGATGACTTAAATAAAGAAATAAAAAAAAACTGAAACAGAAAAAAAGACCCTAAAAGCTGAAAATGAAAACAAGCATAAGTTTAAAAGTAATGATGAGTATTTGTGTTTTCCTTATTATATCGATATATCCTGGTTTTACTAAGCAACAAATCATTTCTGATTTCTTGAAACTGTCACTTATGATATGTATTCCAACTATTGGCGTCTTCCTGAGCATATGGTTTTCAAATCAGTGGTCAGAGGTCATGTCACCCTTTTCAAAGAGTGCCATTGTCGGTTTTGGAGTTAACTTTCCCAAAACTTAGTTTTGGTCTATTATTGTCTTTGACCTGAAACCAGGAATTGTATTTCTGGGTTTTGTGTTTGAAATACATGAATGAAATCTAATAGTAAAACCTCTTGTTTGTTTTCTGATTTCACATCCGTCATTCTTGGACAAATTTCATTGATGTTTCTTAAGAGGTTTTAGTCTCTAATCTTGAATAATATTGCTCACTTATCTGCATCTCTCACCCACCAACACACTGTCTTTCTAGCGTGGAATTATTTCGTTGATTTATAAATAATTTCTGTTTTTGTTTATCATTTTTATTCTTCAAAAAATAAAGTACAACTACATTTTATTCATTTATACAATCACCATTATTTGCAATAGCATCCTTCCCCTTAGCAGGTTTTGATTTGAAAAATTTTAGACAAAATTTTGAATCTGGTTTGCATTAAAGAAAATTTCTCCCTGTTAAAACATTTTGCAGTGATTAAAAGAAAAAAAGTAGTAATCGGTTGGTGCAAGATCACGTGAATACAGTGGGTGGTGTAAAAAAAAAAAAATTTTTTTTTTATACTGATGAGTGCAGAGCACTTATTAGCAAAACGTTTATGGACACATTGCAGCTGCTGGACGCATAAATGTGCATTTAGTGTTTCATTGTGTTCTTAGAATTTTAAAAGGAACAATCCTCTGATGATGCTGCCACATATACATTAACTTTCTTCCCGAAGTTCAGCTTTTGATGTTAGTTGTGGAGATCTATTCTTGTATTGAACATTATTATCTGTAACACATTTTTCTAACTCAGTTATTTGTAAAAATGATTAGAAAGAAGTGAATCTATATTTTTTTAAAGGTTTTATTGAAATTTTATTTAAGTTTCCACATGTCCTCCATCATTAGCAATACAAATTGTAATACAATTTTGCAGTTCACGGAAAACATTTGCCAACTGAATTACAGTAATGCCTGAAATTAGTTAATTTTAGCTATACTTAAAACTAGGTACATTAAACTTTATAACACTTTTTACAGATTATTTCTATCGCAAATACAAATAAAGTTATAATTTTTTTAAAGTGCACACAAACTTTATGGACACCCTGTATAACAACATGGTAACTTTCTTCCTTTAATAAGAATACTAAGAAGTGCACACGAACTTTATGGACACCATATTTAATAAACGGGGGCTATTTATTGCAAAAGGAAACTTGTTGCTATGGATAACTGATCAGCTTTGTTCTTTTTGCCAATAGCATGTTGAACCCAAATATCCGGCTTTTCTAAGTGCTGGCATATGGCAGATTGTGATATGATTAATAAACAAATCTACTGATTCCTAAGTACTTTGCCATAGACTGCTTTCTATTTTAAAGCTTTGTTTTTAAAGCTTTTTGAACAGTTTGTGTTCATCTTCCCATATTATGTACCTTTTAACCCCTCCCCCTATCATGATCTTTACAAAGTTTGTGCGTGCACGAACTTTGTAAAGAGCATGATTATCTACAAAATTACAAAATAAAAAAATAATGCTAGAAACGAAATAATAATTAATACACGAACTTTGTAAAGAGCATCAAGATTATTTACAAAATAAAAAAAAAATCCGAGGAAGGAGCATTTTGTTTTATTTTGTAAATAATCATCCTCTTTTCAAACTTCATGCAAAATTTGCGCATTAATGATTATTTGTTTTATTTTTAATTTAAAACAAAAGCTTTGTTTTATTATTGTCGGAGTTACCTCCTCCTTCAGTTTGTAACCCTTTCACCAGAGGTCTCTCTTTCCTGGCTATAAAAGCCAATGACCCTTCCTTCGATCTCTCTTTTTTTACTTTTCAGGCTTGTGCACTAACGCACCGAGGTAAATTTTCTCTTCTTCCTAGAGGATTTCAACTATCAACCTCAAAATGTAGTCCCTAACAAGAAATAGCGTGAAATCACGCTTATTTACACACGCTCCACACGGAATATTCCCACACACTTTGTCCCTTTGTACTTTTGTATTGTAACTTGTTATGAATATATATTTGTTGTGTATACATATATTATCGGTCTTGTTTTTGTTTGCTTTCTTTTCCTTCTTTCTTTGGACTTAACCAAGTCCAAACTTCTTATAGTTGGGCCGGCTAGCAGGAGAATCTGAACCTTACAGGCGTTTCGTCCACGTCTGTCTTCTCTCAACAAACCGTAACCGCCAACATAACAGCCACGGCCCTCTACAAATGGTGACCCCGACGTGATCTTTCCACTCCTGCTAAAAAAAACACACAAGACGATATATATGTACAAAAACAAACAATTTCTTATACACACCTTCCCAAAAAGAGAGCCAGATAGGAAAAAAATTGAGAAAAACTTCTTTTCGTACACTATCAACGAAAGAACAACCAATTACTACTATTGAAGACGAACCTTTGAACTCTTTACCCACTGGTCTATATTTGCTTGACCCTTTCTTTCTCTCGGCGACGTTGACCTAATTTCACCCGGCAGACATAGGCTGTACCAAACGGAAAACAACGCTATTTTCTACTAACACTGTTTTCTTCTGGACTGAAATAGAAAAAGTGTGAACCAAACCACTGGACGACTCACTGTTCCATTATACGATTGGTGATTCCAAACCATTGCAGACGACTCACTGTCTCAATTTTAAACAACATTCGTGATTCCGACATGAAAGCAACACTCAACTACACCACGTGGCGATATCTTCACGCCTGCTTGCTTCTCATTTCTGTGGACATTCTATTCAACACAACTTCAACTGACTACACATCCACTATCATTATTTTGCAGCTAAAACATTGCCCATATTTCAAATGTCCAAAGTCTTAAAGGCAATTCACCGTCCTTCTTCTCATTCTGCAAATTTTGCCAGAACGATACTCTATCGTCAATATACCAAATTCTCCCAACCTACATTCGACACTCGGTAGAAATTCAGCTCAACTTCACGAGTACGCTGCGTCTATTAACTTTTGTGCGCCGATTATCACCCACGAACCACCTCGTTTTCAAACCAACTACAAACAAGCCAAGACAGGTGCATAGATCGACACAACCAACTCAACGTGGAGCAAAAAAAGACAAATTTTGATAGCAACGCAGACCACTACCGACGCATTTACAGGACGTGCCCAATTCTAACTCACTGAAATATAACACTGCACCCTGAGACAACACTACATTTCGTCGAAAGAATCTCAACCACACTTCTGACACATTTTCTTTTCAGCCCACAAGAACAATATTCAGACTTTAATGAACCTTTTTTTCTTTATATATTAAAAGTTTTCATTTTTACAACCTTTTAATCTGGAAGGACCTCCTCCTTCAGTTTGTAACCCTTTACCAGGGTCTCTCTTTTGCTATAAATAGCCAATGACCCTTCGCTTCGATCTCTCTTTTTTTACTTTTCAGGCTTTTAACGCACCGAGGTAAATTTCTCTTCTTCCTAGAGGATTTCAACTATCAACCTCAAAATGTAGTTAACAAGAAATAGCGTGAAATTTCCACACACGCTCGCAAACGGAATATTCCACACTTTGTCCTTTGTACTGTTTTCTTGTATTGTAACTTGTTATGAATATATATTTGTTGTGTATACATATATTATCGGTCTTGTTTTGTTTGCTTTCTTTTCCTTCTTCTTTGGACTTAACCAAGTCCAAACTTCTTATATAGTTGGGCCGGCTAGCAGGAGAATTTTAGGCGTTTCGTACGTCTGTCTTCTCTCAACAAACCGTTCTGAGCCACGGCCCTCTACATTATTAAATCTGAACTTATATTGTCGATAACTTCTAAACGATTTTCTTCTGCAAACTTTTATTGTTATTTTGGAATTAATCAGGCAATTTCACACCGGAATGGAATTTTTTATTACAATTGCTTTCCAGAGTTTAATCTGCAAATTTACTTATCAGGCTTTTAAAATTAGTCCATTTTTTTTTTCAGTGTTACTGTTATGTATATTCTGCTGCTGAATTTGCAACCTTGTCTCACTGACTATTGTACTGCATACTTTTTGATTGAAATGGTGGCGGACTTCACCACATTAATTGAATTTTAGATTAGGAAACAGAGCTGACGCAGGAAAGGATTGTGGGGTTCAGCGTACCCGGATTAAAGGAGAATTTAATACGGGATACCCTGCCCACAAAATACAACGCAAATTTCAAGAAGAAACAGCACGATAAGGAACGTTTATAAAAAATAGAATATTGTATATTTATTATCTTGTGAATAGGGTAAAAAAGATTACTGTTGTAGTTCGTTTAAGCAAAAATGTGATTTTGATAAAAATGTCTGTGTTCGCTGTCTTTTAACAGAGTAGCAGAATAATGTCTGTTTCTTTTGTTTTTGTATAGTTGTAAAATGAAAAAGGGGCGAGCAATTTGAAAAAGAAAGTGTGAATGAGGAATAAAGATAAAAGGAAAATGTACTTATGAATTGTTTTAGAGTCAGTTGTAAATTTGTTGTTGTCGTTGTTGTTGTTCTTTCCTACTCCACTTTCGGCTCTTTATGTCGGGTTGAGTCAGTGATGGAATTTACTGTCAATCTTCTGTGATCTTTGCGCCCTTCTCTGACTGACTGACTGGCGACTGACTTGAAAACTCTGTATTTATTGTTGACTTTTTTTTCACACTGGCTCGTTATCTTTTTTTTTTGGTTTAGCAAATCGCCTCCTTTCATTGGTCAGAAAATTAATTTCACACCTTATTGTGAAATCTGTTTTTGGTCGTTTTGATCCGATTTTGCGGGTGTGCAAATCTACTTTGTGTTTTTTTAGTCATTTGTTGGAATATAGGATTTGTATCCTATAATTTAATAAGATGTACAATATCAAACAACGATGTGAAAGAAAGCATGCATTTAAGTAAGAAAAGGTTGAATACAACAAGAGTTGTCTCTCTTTAATGTTATTTTAGAGTTCCAAAGTTCAATGGAAGAATGTTTATGAGAGTCTCTTGTAATGATTGTCCTTGAAAGATATTGCTGTGTAAGAAGAGTTTATGTGAGTGTGTACAAGGTATGTTCAGCATGTGAGTGGTGTGTGTGAGTGAGAAAGTTGACGCATAGTTTGAACTGTCGTGGATTCGTATGGCAGTTGAATTTCTCACTAACGAAATGAAAAAAGACCTTAGCTTAAATAATCGACTGTAAGCTCCAAATCCCTGCGCGGGAAGAATTATTTTTCACGTGCAAACGATCTGATTGGTTGGCATCGATTAATCAGCGAGCGAGCTTTGGGGAGACTCAAGAAAGCTTCTGAGATCCGTTTCTCCTAAAAGTGCACAAAATTAACTACTTAAAAATAGAGCGATTACAAAATTGTCGCATTGCTGCGATTTGTAAATTGCCTATAATAACGTAGTGGTGATTAATTAACCAATGAATGCTTGGCGTTGTATGTGATTTGTATTTTTGTATGTATGTATGTATGTTCGTGCGTAATAGATTCGCACAAACTTTAATTCTGACACTTTTTTTCTTCTTTTTTTTTCATTTCATAATTTTGGAATTTCAATTTTGACATTTATTTTTAAATTTGAATATATTTGTTTTACTTCCACTGAAAGAAAGTTATTTTATAATTTTGCAAATTTACCATTTCTTTTTTTTTTCTTTAGCTGAAACACTAAAGGTTCAATCAGTTGATTTTCATAGTAAGTACAACCGAGAAAAACATCATACTGATGAATACGAGCAAGAAGACTTGATTGTTCGTCGAGGGTCGCCATTTTACTTGAGTTTTACGTTCCAACGAAACATCAAGCCGGATGCTGATTCCATAGTGTTGCAGTTTGTTACAGGTTAGTAAACAATAAACATTGTATATACTATTGCTTTGCTTATATACACATTATGAAAATGTTTTTATTCGTACAACATAAGGTAAAAGTCTGGAACCAAGACCATAAAACTGGCCACAATTGAATGTAATTATTTTGTCAATACACGTATGGGCTAAAAAACAAATATATATATATCCTGAGTTGTTGATTTTAATTTTTAAGTGACTACAGTTACTCAAAGCAAACACTAGTTGACACATTAAGATTTTGTAGGAATGTGTACTGCTATATCAATGAATCCCCAAACCCAAAAAACTGGTGATAAAATTGGAGGTCCAGACAAAATATAGTGGAGAATGAATGAAACGTTGATTATAAAAGTAAAAAGAAAAAATAACTGTAACCAAGTGGTTTGTAGCGGTATTGACGGCGTGAATCAACCCGCAAACTTTTTACTTTACGAATTTGTAAGCAAACAAAAAGCAAACAAGAGAAAGAACACAAGAAAATAACTTTTCATAACAGGTACAACATTTATATTTATAAATGTCTACGGTTTTACATGAATTATGAATATGAGTTACGTCCCTTTGACTGGGGTAAAGTCTTTACTACAGTGTAACCAGGATATAAGAGACCCGGATATAAGAAAAACCCGGATATGAGAGATTTTCTCTGGTCCCAAATTAGTGCCTGTGTTAATGTATATAAAATAGACCAAACCCGGATATAAGAGAAACCCGGATATAAGAGACTTCTTCTCCGGTCCCGACAACTCTCTTATATCCGGGTTACACTGTACTAAAAGATTTTTTTACCTGAGCTCACAAAAAGTTGAATTAACTTGTCGCTCAAAATATTCACTGAGTTTAAAGAAACCTGTAAAGCTGAAAGTATGTTGATAAACTTTTAGCTTTAAAGAATTTGGAGAAGTGAATATTCAGTAATGTCTAATTTGTTTTCGTTGCTCGTAGCTGAATGTATTGTTCGTAATGTTTCGTAAGATTCAGTAGCGTGATTGAATAGTTTTTAGTAAGTTGCAGAAGTTGGTGAGTGAGTTGTTTAGTTGAAATTTTAGCTTGAATTACAGTGAAGTTATTTCATGTTAAAGAACTTGAGTTTCTAACTTTGTACTTCGCTGCAGTAATGATACAAGCGTTGTGAACTCGTTTAGCAAATGCTAGTCGCCGTAAATTCTCACTGACTGAATTCGCTTGTACTTTCAATTTATATGTTTTTTAATCATGTGACAGGCTCCAAGAAGCATTGTTTTTTCGTCAGGTCAAAAACTAGGTTGATGTTATTCGGACGTAGTGGTGTACGGGTAAATTGTATTTTTAATATTTGTTAACCACTCAGAAAGCATCTTACAAAACTCAGTCTGGAGCCTGATGTTTTGTTTTGCTGATTGAGAACGATGTACGTGAAGATACACGAGATAATTTTAATATTTATTGTCCAATGAGAAGTTAAGGTTTTCTGAAAATATGTATGAAGCTGTGATCCGCTTTTTGCTTGAAAATCGACATTGATGAAAAAGTGGTAGCGGAATGCTAAATGAGCATCAACAATGGCTCTAAGAAGTGTCGTGTCTCTTACTCTAAACCGGATGTTGACTGCTCAACAGCCTAAGGCAGAATGAGAAAACGCGTCTCTGCACATCATGGCTTGACGCATGTTTTCGGTATTAAATGATAAAATGAACTTTATATATTGACCAGTAGAAATAATACCCGCTAAAAGATCTAGACTGTGACTTGGAGCAGATACGACAGATATAAATTCCCTGATTCAACGCCGCAAGAGAGAGAGATCTGGCTGGCTGAGACGTCAACACGCAGAGGTTAGTCAAGAACGCCGCACATAGACTGAACGCGATACTTTTCAACTTTCGTCCCTCACCGCGGCCGTCTTCACAAAACATCAGCTGGCAGCCATGACCAACATTCTTTCTCTTTCTTCCTTCCTTCCCCACTCTGTCGTCTTTTACAACAGCGACAGACAGTATGCTGGCTTTTGTATATATATAAATAAATTATACATTTATTTACCCCAAATATGATGTATTCCGTCTCGAATTTACGTTTGCTGAGGCGAAGAAGAAACTAATCTTTTAAGCAGTAACAACAACGGCGACAAGTTCTGCCTTTCAGGTTACTCATTCTTCGCTTCCGGAACAGAAGGAACCAAAAAGAAATTCTGAAAAATTTAATAATTACTCTGTAGAATTTATTCTTGATAGATTGCATTTATTTAGGTACCTCCTCTAATTCGGTATACCTAAATTTGGTAATAGCTTAAGAAAAATAATCAGATGATACGTTGGTCTCAGTAGGATGAGAAATAAGCAGACTCTGAAATTACAAATTGAATCTAAGGACTGTCATTGATTACTCAGACCTTCCAAAGTTTATACAAAAAATATTGTGCTTTGGGAACTGTTGCAGTAAAGAATTTTGGTTGTAAATATGTAACATTTATGAGGATAATACACGGATATCTTTCCTTAGGTGTTTATAAATTGTAAACTTGCAGTGGACCGTGGCTGTGATGTTGTTGATAGAAGTAGAAGAACACATGTGGGATTAAGATATTCCTGCTAGCCGGTCCAACTGCATGAGAAAGTTGGACTTTAATTAATTCCAAAGAAGGCAAAGAAAAACAAACACAAAACCGATAAATATATGTATACAAATATATGTATTAATAACAAGTTACATGGACAGTTACAATGGACAGAGTGTGTGTGTGAATATTATGTGTGTGTGTGTGTGTGTGTGTGTTGAGTGTTCGTACGTACGTGTATTGTGCTTAGCGTGTTCCCAGCATTTGGGAAACGCTATCTCTGTGAGCGTTTACATCTGCGAGGTGGTAAGGCTGAAAACCTGAGGAAAAAGGAGAAAGAGGCGAAGGGTCAGCGACTATTTATGGTCATGGAAGAGAGACCCCTGGTGAAAGGGTTAACGAACTAAAGGAGAAGTTAACTCCGACAAACTGTTCATTAACATTAACGTTAACAACGAACTATTTCAAATCACAAAATTGAACTTGGATTAATAATACCAAGTCATTCTTGAACAAAGTGGCTGTGGAAAACTCTTCTGATTATTGGAAAGAGTTTATTGATAGTTAAAAATGAATGAAGTGTTTTTTTTTCTTCTATATAATGGGATTTAATTTGGTTTGATTCCAGCAGCTCAGACAATGAAAACTGATATGTCCTGGGAAGGGACATATTTGATCGAAGTAGCTAAGTGGTTTAGGCTACTGTAACCGAGTTTGGGCTACTGTAACCAACGCCTTAATCCACTGTGCCATGTGTCCTTGAGGACACATGGCACAGATCGTGACAGCACCAAAAGAGTTGTGAGTTCAATACCCAGTTAAGGCAGTGGAGAACTTGGAGAGGTGAATTAACAGGAGATAACTGATAACTGACATCCATTAGACATGGTACGTGGAACTAGAACAGTCTACCCCAGTGAATGAAATAAAGGGTTCAGTTCGACATTCCAACCACCTGAAGAAGGCCAGAGCGTACAACGGCCGAAACGTTGTAATAAACATGGCAACAAAGATGAGAAGGATAGACCGAATAATGTAAATAGTGTACATAATACCTAATCTCAGAAATATAGACAGATACAATTTGTTTCTTTCAATAAAATTATCTTATTTTCATTGTAACTTGTTTTTGTTTTGGTATTGCAATCAGATTATGGTCCTATGACTTTCTAGGATGAAAACGGAATTTTTTTTCCATTTAACAGATTGAATAAAGAAAAATGTAAACAAGGTTTTATAAAAATTTCCATGTCATCCAATCAATTACAAATACTTAGTCATTTTTTTCACCTTTTTTAATTTTTTTTTAAAGGTGATCGTCCTAAGCAAAGCAAAAGTACAATAAATCGTCTGCGCGTGTTGTCACCTCACAAAACCGAAAAACAACAACTCAAACGACAATTGTGGAAGGCTAAGCATGTGGAACTGAAGGGTAAAACTATCAAAATTGAGGTAACCCCTGCTGCAAATTGCTTTGTTGGTGTCTATGAGGTTTATTTGGAAACCAAGAATGTCAATGATCCTGAGGACACACCTGAACGATATCAACACCAAGATGATATTTATATCCTCTTCAACACTTGGTGTAAAGGTAAGTGATATTATTAATAGTGTCATACAAAGGCAAATGGTTGGCAGAAAGACTGGAGTCTATCAATTTTCTAAATAGGGTATGTTTGCCTTGAGAATCAGCATTTTGAATTTTGGCTTTTACCTAGAATTGAATGTTAGCTACCATTGCATAATATACAATTATCAACTCTATGCAATCTTACCTGTGTCTAACACAGGGCCACATTTATATAGCAAGCAATGACTTACTACACTAATAATCATTGAGACAAGCCTGCTGACCATTATCCTACAGTTGAGGGTCATATATTTATTCACTTATTCTGCCAAAAGACTACATTTGTAGGCCACCTGGTGAGGATCAAACTCATTACACCTTTGAATTGGTCTATGAGACAAGCTTACTAATCATTGTGTCTAATGAGGTGCCCATAAATTTATTTACTTTGTGGGTCACCTAGTGTGAATTGAACTGATCTGTGAGCTTGCTAACAATTGTGCTACAGGTAGTAGGCATATATTTATTTATTTAGGCTGGCACAAGGCTATACCTACAGAGCAACCAATAAAGACCAAAATCATTGCACAAGTAAATTGGTCAATGCGAGGAACTTGGTAACTATTGTTCTATAGTAAGAATTCATATAATGACTAAAGCTAATAAGACAAAAAGTAAGTCATGTGAATGTCAAATATTGATGGGGGTCCCTTCTTTTGTTCTGATACTTACTTATTTACGTTAACAATTGTAGAATAACTGTAACAACAACAGCAACAACAATAACCTATCTCTCTTTTTCTTTCTCTCTCTCACTCTATATTTCTTTCTCTCTCTCTCTCTCTATATATATATATATATATGGGAGTCCCTTCTTTTGTTCTGATACTTATTTATGTTAACAATTGTAGAATAAATGTAACAGCAACAACAATAACCTATCTCTCTTTTTCTTTCTCTCTCTCACTCTATTTCTCTCTCTCTCTCTCTCTCTCTCTCTCTGATTAAACTTATTCAATAAAATCGGCTTCAACCACGGCCTCCAAATGACTTCATAATCTCTTGCATCTTTTCTGGACGGTCTCCTTGTGTAAGTTGGCGAATGCTGCCATAATCCTTGACTTCAGTTCATCTTTGGTGTTACAAAGAGTTTTATTGGTCTTTTACTCAACTGCCCCCTACACATAATAATCAAGAGGGTTGTAGTCTGGAGAGTTAAGTGGCCAGATATAAGGTGTAATGTGGTCACAGAAATTGTCTGACAGCCATGACTGGGTTCTTCTGCTTGTTTGGCATGGTGTAGAGTCCTTTTAACAGACATAGGGTCTTCCAGCAGCCACCCTCTTGACCCAGGGCAGCTCTATCTCCTCAAGGCATTTGATGTAAGCTTCCATGTTGAGTCTGATGCCCTGTGGGAAGACAAGTGGGGGTATAACATTACCATCACTAATGATCACTCCAAACACCTTTGTAATCACTCATCCAACTCTTTCCGAATCCTCAGCACTGTCCTCAAATTGATATCCGAACACTCTGAAATGTTCATATTGTAGCCTCCAGCACAAATGCCACATAGTGCAGCATGCTGTTTCTAAATTTCTGGCAGAGTGAATTGCATCATGGTGCTTTTTTTTCTCACAGATAGTGCCCAAATGAAACTATTATATTGTGCAGTTGATAAAATCAAAAACAAACACTACACGCGTGTGAAATTAAAAATATAAAATAGCGACAATTTATCCATCGCATCCTGTGTGTATGTATACTGGGTGTAACAGCAAAATTGTCCAAATCGTATAGCAACATCAAATAATTGTCCATCCCACAAAATGTTTAATACCTAAAAAAAAAAAAACACTAAACTAATTGAGTTTCTTTTTTCCAGGTTTTCAGATGTGTTTAGCCATCTTGACACTATTTGTTGTAAGATTCACTGAAAATCCCTTTGAGTTATTCGGCTAGAGAGAGAACAGGATAAAATAGTTTTGTGTCAGCCCCACTGTCTTCCCAAATGAGCATTCTGGCTTTCAGTAATGGTACCAACATTCATACACTGGCATCCATTTTCTGGCAAGTCCATTCAAGAACCATCAAGAGAACGATGAATAAGTTTAAAAAAGAGGAAACACTAGTGTTATACCTGAACGTACCTATTCTATTATTAATAGACTCTCCCACACATAATAAGTAGTAGTAGCGGTCGCCAGTTGAGCTCAGTGGAGTTGAGTGAGTCAGTTGATGTCGGACATTGAAGTATCAACCATCACAACTAGATTGCTGCGTCATTAACTCTTATTTTTAAGTTCCTAACGTTTTGTACGTCGGACCCTTTTAGGACCGACTTAGCGAAATACAAGCCTCCACTGTGAAAACTACTCTACAACAACTAGAGAGGAAAATTGGATCAGGAGGCTACAACAGGAAGAAGGATTATCATTTAGAGCTAAAGAGATCAATTAGAAAAGATCCAACTCAATCCATAAGACGTTTGGCCCGTGAGTTTCGGCTATGTCAGTCCAAAGAGCAGTGAAAAAAGACCTGAAAATGAAATCTTGCGTGGAACCTGTGTAGCAACTCATTACTCCAGGACAGAAAGTTAGAAGGTTAGAGAGGGCGAAGATCATCTTGAATAAGTTGGAAAATGGCCCTGAAATAATATATATATTTGGACTTTATTTCAATCCTTCATGAGCTTCTGATCCTTAGCTATGATTAATTAATGAAGAACATGTTATTTTCATTTATGATCGATTTCATCAAGATTCTTCTGTTAAGCTTGAAGAATAATTATACATTCTTATTGCTCAAAGTAGAGTCCAATAGTGTTATAAAAACCACAGAGAATTCCAGTAAGATATCTTTAATCATTTCTAAGATATATAATAAATAGCTCAAAGCTTAATCTAACAAATGGACAATTTTGCTGTTATGCATATATATATATATATATATATATATATATATATATATATATATATATATATTTGTATTTGTGCTATTCAATTAGGTGGATTAGTAATTTAGAGCTTCTGGGATACAGGTCATCATCTCACCAGCAGTGGTTGGGTCAGCTGAGTGAAAAGTTCTGATGATGGAAGACCTAAAGCCTTTGATGAACCAATCACAGAAGATTACTGAAGATATGTTCCAATGTATCTAGAAGATGTATACATAGAATGGAAATAACCAATACAGTTGCATAATTACTTAAATATTGACATCCTTTTTTGACTGTATGTGTGTACCAGTTAATAATACTTGGGAATTGTCCATTGAATAAAAAATAAATAAATCAAAAGCATTATAAGTATTTAAAAAGAAAATCGACTATTCTTTTGGTAGAGGACCCAGTTCATATGGAACATGAAGATGACAGAAATGAATACGTTCTTAACGAGAGTGGATTGATCTGGGTTGGATCAGTATGTTGCAATCATGGCCGACCTTGGAATTTTGGACAGGTATTTGTATTACAATATATTTTATTCTCTTTCATATGTGTGTATAAATATGTATTTATGTGTGTCTATAAAGTTTTACAGAAACAGTACAGGGATCCTGCATCTGTATATTTATAGGATCCAGATTCTATATTGTTCTCAAAACTTCAAAAAGTAAACAAAACATAGGCTCCAAATTAAATTACACAACTAACATAATTTGATTGGTTCAAAAATATCACATGGCATGTCATTGACTATGTCCACATGTCTGACCTTAAACTGACCTGATCAATGGTACAGTTACGCCAAAATTTTAAAACATTTTCTGGAGCCTATCACATGACTTATATTGTTTATATAAACAACAAACAATTAAAGAGCAGGAGTTGGAGAAAAAATCAGCCAAAAAAGCTGCACACTATATGACGACACTCTTCATAAAATAACTTTCAACTGAAGTCCAGACTATAAGTTAAAAATCCTTTTCTAACATAGCCACAGTCTATTTCCTTCATTTAATGCAAACTAAACTCATGTCAGCAAACAATTAAGTGACAGTCACTCAAATGTCGAACACAACGAGTCACAGCCACACATGCTTGGAAATTTGGATAGGTATTTGTACTTCAATATCTTTTATTCTCTTTTATATGTGTGTGTAGACATGTATGTATGTGTGTCTATAAATACAGTGCTTAAAAAACTTTGATGAATGCAATTTCAAAACTTCTCATGCATAAGCAATCACCTTAATAAGCGTGATGTCCCTTTTAATCATGCCTAAGGATAAAAGTGACGACCACTATGAAAGGTGAGAAAAATGCAAATAATTACTTGGGGATAGTGAACTTGATATAATTAAAATTTGATTGAAATATGCCAAGATTAGAAGATGAATCATCGTTTTTAAAAATTCTTATACAAAAACTATTTGTGAATTATTGGTTTCAAATACAAAGATAAACAAATTGGATAGGAAGAAAATGAAGAAATGGAATGTAAAAGGAGACAATATTTACAGAACTTGCTGGAATGGTTCCTAAGAATGAAATAAAATTATCTTTTTCTTTTCAATTAAATTAAGAATTATAAAACATTTTTATGTTCCTTTGCTTTTTATTGTGGTTAAAAATTTATTTTTAATTCTCATAAAATTCAAAGTTTAGAAAAAATTGTTATTTTCCATGTGTAGATTTTTAAATTTGATTAATGTTCAGTTAATTATCACAACACGTTTTAAAGAGAAATTAAACAAAATTAATTTCCTATATATATATTATGTATATAAGTAAACTATATACTTATCATGATATATATGTATTAATGTGGTTTTATTCAGCATGAGTTTTGATTGGCATAGTTAAATTAATTTGAACTTTGCTTTTTATGATGAAAATTTTGATGAATGCAATTTTAAAACTTGAGTAATGATGAATGAAGCAGACAGGAAAAAAATGAATAAATTAAATTGTTGTGGTAGGATCCACCTAATTTGCATAGTGGAGTACCGACCATATAAATATGGTTGGTACCGGGAAGAGAGGGAGGAATCAAGAGATTCAACCAGAGACTCTGCCCGACTGCGACTCAGTCAACACATTCTCCAGGAACGGTCTTACCAGGAATATACAAAAGACTATATGTAAATATTGTGTACACTTTCTTGTTTCAATACATTTTGTTCTAAGTACATTTTGTGTTGCATTATTATTCCATGCATTAGTCAAGTTTCAACAGAAATGTAATTCAGAAGAGATTGTTCCAAGAGAGACAATACTTAGAGAACATACTGGAATGGTTCATAAAAGTGAAGCCCTCAAATAATGTATATGAATAGAGATGTCAATTGAAGCACGCTTGTTTATTGCTGGTGAATAGAGGATCCATGCTGAAAAGGAAAAAAAACGAAATAAAATCTATTCAAATGACCCTTGAGAATGTTTATTTTTTTTCTGAAAATAAACTTCGCTAAAATTTACTGTATTCAGTATATATTTATTTCACATGTATTGCTATTTTTATGACAGGAATATCATATTATGTACTTAAATATTTTGAGGTACAGCTGATCTCTATGCCCACACTGTTACACACACACACACACACACACACACACACACACAAATATATATATATATATATATATATATATATATATATATATATATATATATATATATATATTATTATTTATTTAAAAAAATTATAATATAAATATGTTATAAAATTACTACAAAAATAGCCATTTTCTTTTTCAACACCCCCGGTGTCTTATCAAGTGATGATGTTGAATGTAAAATAAATGGTTTTAAAAGTTTCAAATTAATTAACGATCCTTCGCAAGGGGAAAACGCTGTTACAAAAGCTAGAATGAACAATCAAAATACAAGTATAGGAAAATTCAAAAAACTTGACACCGAAGTCATGTTATAATAGCTATTCAGATCTTTAAAATAGGGGTAATATTAAAAAAGAATTTATTCTAACCAATAATTATCAAATTATATGATAAAATTTTATATTAAAATTAAAAACTGCCAATTTTAAAATCCAAATTTAATCACTATTAAGTTTAAAATTATAAAATTACTGAGGAGAAAAGAAGAAATACATATGTTATTCAATTTATTTCTTCATTGAAACATACAGTTATTTACTGTGTTGATTTTTTTTTTTTTCACTGTTTTTATACATACATACATACATATATATATATATATATATATATATATATATATATATATATATATATATAAATAGCTGGCTACTTGTATTTGAGGATACTTATCTATTAGGGCAGCTAGCCAATACCTATTGCAGACGCTCACTCAGGCACATTTATGTTTGTTCAAAAACCACAGAGCTAATCTGTGGTTTATACTGCAACTATGCTGAGCAGACTTTAGTTACAGTTTCTGTGAGAGAGCGTGTTATCTAGCATGATCAACAATCTGAACGAGGCCAGCACGCTCAAACCCTCGATCACAATGACTTGTGACTTCGTGCTAGAACAGCTATTGACAGCCCTTAAGGGTTCCATCTCCCTAATTTCACTCACAAGGCTTAAGTCAACCCATGGTATGGTTCTCAAACCCTTTCCAAAGGTGGCGCATACTGGGACCACCTCCTCCAGACTGATAACCTCAGAAGGTCTACTTCCTAACAAATCAACCATGGTGAGATTCGAACCTGGGTCTCGTGTTCAGAAAGTGAATCACTCGGCCACATACCCATCTCTCTCTCTCTCTCTCTCTCTCTCTCTCTCTCTCTATATATATATATATATATATATATATATATATATATATATATATATATATATATATATATATATATATATATATATGCTATTAAGCATTACTCTGCAAGTAAATTGAATTGAGTTCTCCAAGCCGCTGCTGGCGTATTTCGTAGAGAGAAAAAGGTTAAAAATTCCCTTCCTTTCTGCTGAGCGATGATGGCCTAGAGGTAAGATATCTCAAATCAGTCAAGTTTCAATCCTGCCTTGAAGCAATCAGACATCTAACAACACTGAGGAGCTGTGATACAGCAAAACAGTCTGTCTGCAGATGATCATATATATATATATATATATATATATATATATATATATATATATATATATATATATATATTTATTATTTTGACATTTTTATGTTTATACATATTTTTATAGATACAAATATGCCTGTAAGTAAATGCTCCGTTTATAATAAACAGTATTAAACGACAGTAAAATCAACCTTGCTAACCGAATATATATATATATACATACATATATATATATATATATATATATATATATATATATATATAATTTTCATCCTCCGACAGGGATTAAACCTGTATCCTATACGGAACAGTCATATAGTCTGATGTTTCGGCCACAGAGGAGCGTTCGGTTAGTAAGGTTGATTTTACTGTCGTTTAATACTGTTTATTATAAAAAAAAAAAAACAGAACATTATCTATAATTTTTTGTCTACATCTTTATATTGTCACTTTTTTTCAGTTTGATGAACCTTGTCTTGATGCTGCCCTAGTGCTGCTCAAAACAGCTGGTCTCCCAGAAAATGGTTACAAAAATCCTATTTCTGTCATCCGTTGCCTTTCTGCTATTGTGAGTAAGGAAAAAAAATCTTTTTCTTTTTTGTTCATTTGTCTTTATTGTTGCTGTTTTTACCACAAGACGCAACTCATTTCTGTATTCTGGTACTGTTATTATAAAATAAGCAAGGAGTCCCTGATGAGATTTGAACTCAAATTCTGTATACTCAAAAGCATTAATTTTAATACATTATACATTTAATGATCATAGAATGTAAAAATGACCTGATTCTTGCAAAAAAAAGAAAAAAAAAAGAAAAAACACTGATAAAGATGGAAAAATAACTAAAAGAAAATTATTAATGAGAACACTTCATGACTTTTAGTTTTTAAATTAAATAATATTTTATGGAAATACATGTTCCCTTCAATAAATATTTCCTTTGAAAATTTGTCATCAAACAGAAGATAAAGTGTGACTTAATTGTTTAATCTAGAAATGATCATATAAAACAATATTATGAATGAACTACAGTGTAGCCCGGATATAAGAGACCCTGATATAAGAGAAACCCGGATATAAGAGAAATTTTCACTGGTCCCAAATTAGAGCCTGTGTTAATGTATATAAAATAGACCAAACCCGGATATAAGAGAGATTTTCTCTGGTCCCAAATTAGAGCCTGTGTTAATGTATATAAAATAGACCAAACCCGGATATAAGAGACTTCTTCTCCGGTCCCGACAACTCTCTTACATCCGGGTTACACTGTATAATTTAATAAAAATCTTTTCTTTGAAATTCTTGTTATATGTAAGCGTTAGTAAAATAAACAGGCTTAATTTGCCAATCTTTTTGATAAGTATAAGTACATATCCGTTTTTTCAGTATACTTATGCAGAAATGTGGTAGCATTAGTAATTATTTTTTGTCTTTTTCCTTGCAAATTTTAGATAATTGTTAGAGTGTACATATAGTGACGTGTAAATGACTGGTAAATTAGTATAACTAAGGCACAGAGGTTATATATTCTTTATTGCTTCATCTTTATTGTAGCTGTTTTTACCACAAGACACAACCTATTTCTGTATTCTGGTACCGTTAAGTTAAAAGCATAGATTATAAAATAAGCAAGGAGTTCTTGATGAGATTTGAACTCAAATTCTGTATACTCAAAAGCATTAATTTTAATACATTTTACATTTAATAATCTAAAAATGACCTAATTCTTGCAAAAAAAAAAAAAAAATTAAAAAAATAAAATAGAGATGGAAAAAGTAACTTAAAGCAATAATGATGAGAATGCTTCATGAATTTTATTTTTAAAATTCTTAAATTAAATAATAGCAATCAACCATAGTCGGGATAATCAAGTCAGTGTGAATGATCCTTTCCTTAGCTGCATTGTTTGTTTGTCTTGTCTGTTTTTCCGCACATCGAGCGTGCTCCTTCCAACTGAGAAAAAGCTAGTGTTATATAGCTCACCCAGTCCCAGACCGATGCTAACTATTGTCTAATACTTGTCCAGTACCATTCATATGCAAATTGTCAATGCCACCTACTGTAAGTAAAGGGTGTTCCAATAACTTGGACTGATTTTAAATGTGAATTAAGTTTAAGCGTCTAATGATATTTTTCTTTTTTCTTTCATATTTAACAACTTAAGTCTTTGGCAATTTCAATCATGGAAACATTAACAATCAAACAACATGTTAAAGTTATCGAAGCCTGTTATGAAAATGGACGTTCAAACAGAAATGCATTTTTCGCATTCATGATTTTTTGGTCAACATAATCGAGCAACCGAGAGTGCAATTGGAAATGACGTAACGTTGTTGTGGACAGGTTCAATTTCTGCGTGCGATGACGAATGGAGGTGTCTGGATTTTCAACCACACTCTTGTGCACTGTAGCAATGTTTTCAGCTGAATGGCGTAAGTGAGCATGCAATCATGTTTTCACATCTGCCACCAACCCAGTTTGATGATTTTATGAACAATTTTTTCACTTGCACTTTTGAAATTTTAACATGTTGTTTGATTGTTAATCTTTCCATGGTTGAAATTGCAAAAGAATTAAGTTGTTAAATCTGGAAGAAAAAAAATCATTAGACGCTTAAACTTAATTCATATTTAAATTTGGTCCAAGTTATTGGGATATGCTATATAATGGTTATGAAGCTTGTCATATCGCTCATTATGATTGAGTAGGGAGTCTAATCTTCATTTGGGTTATATTAGAAATAATTTTAATATTACCTCTTTTGTATAATAAAGGGTGTTTCTTTAAGATAGATTATATATAAGGGTGTTTCATTAAGATGGATCAAAGTAGCAGTAAATAAATTAGTGTTATTGGTGAAAATTTATTTATTTATTTATTGGATCATATTATTTACGTCATGATAATTATGTGTGAAAATCGCCCAAATATCTGCCAAATCCGAAAGAAAAAGTAAAAAAATCATTAAACGCTTAAACTTAATTCATATATAAAATCGGTCCAAGTTATTGGAACCACCTTTACCTGTTATATTTGCCTATTTTTCTTTTGATTATTTTGAAAATTTACAGAATCTTTCTTTGTCTTATCAACAACTTTATATTGGTACATTTCAAATCTGACAATTGTCATTTGCTTTTTTTTTAATCTGAGTTATCTTAGAGCAAACTGGTCAAAGGTCAAAGGTGAGCAAAAATTGGAAATTTCAAAATTGCACTTACTGTGTTTATATTAATATTTCTAATAACATTTAAACCTATTTATGAAAAAATACATTTACCAGTTCTTACTGTTACCTCCAGTTTGAAATATATAATACTTGCTCACTTTCTGCACAAAGACAGCCACCAAACAGTCTGCAGTGGATGAGGCGGTTTCCTTACCCTCCCTCCAGAATCTTGATGAACCCTTGCAATTTATATCTTGCACAACACTATGTGGACATTCAACATCAGATAGCCTCAAATTTTTTCATTATTTGGCTATGGACTTATTGATATAGATATATAAAATTTAACCAAGTTAATAATTTGATAGAAATGTTTTTGTTTCACTGATCCTATAAATATTTATATACTTGTTTAAAAACACAAACAATCATTTGGTACCAACAAATTTTATTGAAAAGCTTCATTGATTCTTAGGCTATGGACTTCTTGATGTGCCTATATAATAAAGCTTAGCAAAATTATTAATCATTTAGAGATTCTTTTGTTTGACCAATCTAAAGATTTAATCATTTGCATGAGAAATGAACAAAGAACAGGAGACCTCCAACCTAGAAATTTGATGCCATGCATTGTTGATCATCTGATGATATTTTATCTATCAGTAAGTCTATAGTTATTTATATCCCTTCAAGGATTGTGTCTGGGTCAGCATGTTCTAGATAAGAATGATATACTAGAGCACTCCCATTATTTAGAGTCCGAGTGATGACTTTTCACAGTTTTATCCAACTAGTATAAAGCTGCCTTAAAATGCTACATTTCAACATTGGTCTTGCAAGTACAAAATATTTTTTTCTTAGTGTAGGAAGATTATGTTGTGCCAAATAGCAACAAACTACTTTCCTTCAAGATCTTTGTCAAAATATAGAATATTAATTTTTACCTCCACAAATTGTATTTTATTCTAATAGTCAAATTATTTTCTCATTAATGTTAACAAAATTGGATGATCCATATATATATATATATATATATATATATCTTACTTATTATAAAACGCAGATTGTGTGTGTGTGTGTGTGTGTGTGTGTCTGTACGTTTATATATTGGATCGGATTTCCTACATTTTTCAACCGATTTCAACAAAACTTCACAGGACTACGTAAAATTACCTTGCGGTGGTTCTGACAGCGCCAAAAATGGGAAAAACACAATTGTTTTTGCACGAAATCAATTTGAAAACATGATTAAGAGGCATCACGAGAATGAAATGGGGGCAACTCATATCGAGTTATACTCATTATAAAACCCTGGTTATGTGTGTGTGTTTGTTTATACATGGGATCGGATTTCCTACATTTTTTCAACCGATTTCAACAAAACTTCACTTTTTTTTTGGCAGGTAGTGTTTCTTATTGTCTTACACACTTTTTTCTTTGTTTTTACATTCAGAATGCTTTAAAAATTCCATTTACAAGACAATTGTTTATAATAAAATTCTATTCAATCGTTAGAGACTCATAACGATTGAAAACAATGTTTTTGTTTGAGTTTGGGTTTGACCAATTCGTGAAAAAAAAAAAAATAAAAAAATAATTAAGACATGCGTGTCCGTCAAGCTTAAACAATAATCTTTGTCAATTTTAATTTTCAGTCTTTATGATGGTCGATACTTGATCTATCTCTTACTGTTACATCCATCCCCGGGCAACGCCGGGCTCTACTGCTAGTATATATATAAAATCGTGAGGGAATTGTGTGTTTTGCATATGCATCCTAGAATTTTGCTTTATTCTCACCAAAAGAATTTCTCATAACGTTTAAACTTGTGAAATACACATAAATGAATATACTAATATTAGAAACAAAATTATTAATCATAAAGATGATGCAACACAGTTCAAGAGTCTTTTTTTGTTGTTCTTAATATTAGCTATCAGTCCCTTAATACCTTGTTCAATTTATGAAGAAAACCTCTTTTGCATTTTCTATGAACTCAAAAGCATTAATGTTAATACCTTTAACATTTAATAATCTAAAAATGACCTAATTGTTGCAAAAAAAAGAAATAAATAAATAAAAATAAAATAGAGATGGAAAAAGTAACTTAAAGCAATAATGATGAGAATGCTTCATGAATTTTATTTTTAAAATTCTTAAATTAAGTAATAGGAATCAACCATAGTCGGGATAATCAAGTCAGTGTGAATGATCCTTTCCTTAGCTGCATTGTCTGTTTGTCTTGTCTGTTTTTCCGCACATCGAGCGTGCTCCTTCCAACTGAGAAAAAGCTAGTGTTATATAGCTTACCCAGTCCCAGACCCATGCTAACTATTGGCTAATACTTGTCCAGTACCATTCATATGCAAATTGTCAATGCCACCTACTGTAAGTAAAGGG